TTAGGGTTTAGGGCTTAGGATTTCAGATCATGGGCTTTTGGGTTTGGGGGTTGAGGTCTGCTTTGGGCCATGGGGTTTAGTACTCTAGAGCCATAAACTTTAACCCCCTAAACCCTAAACACTACACCCCTAAACCCTAAACCCCTAAACCCCTAAACCCTAGTGCCTTTGGACTCAAATGTGAGTGCCCGGCTTGGCTTCGGAGACGTCGTCGGCATGAAGACATCGCTTTCGCAACGTCAGAGCCAATAACAAAGAAGCCTAAATAGGGCTTAGGGTTTAGGGGTTTAGGGTTTAGGGTTTAGGGTTTTAGGGTTTAGGGTTTAGGGGTTTAGGGTTTTGGGGGGTTTAGGGGGTTTAGAGGGTTTACGGGCCTTATAATAGCTACCAACGCTATTTTGTGGGGGGGTTCCTTATTATGATTATTAGTATAATGGGCCCCAAAGCCTTATTCAATTCTAATTCTCAAGGCCCCTATATTACCCAGACGAGCCCAGGCGCTTCGAAAAGGAAATGCCTTGAGACAGTGGGCGCAAGCCCCAAGCCACGACGTATCCCAACCGCCCTAAACCACGAAACCCTTACACCGTTTAGGGTTTAGGGTTTAGGCCCTATAGCCTTGAACTGAAAATAAATCTTTGAACAGTTGATAGTTAAGCGTATCCCCCTATTCCCCCGCAGCCATATAAAATTATATCCCAAACAGTAAACACTTGCGCCAACCCCCCAGACCGTGAAAGGCTATTCTACGCATTCAGGCCCCTGGACGCAGAACACCCTATTCTATTGATCATGCCCCTCAACTCAAGAAACCCTTCTCTATTTGTTCAAGCCTTATACAACTCAAGCATCCCAAATTATGCATTCCGTTCCTTAAGGCCCTAAACCTTATAAACCTTAAACCCCCTAAGCTCAGCCCCTCGACCCCTAAACCTAAACCCCAAATCCTGAAACCCACATCTTGGGGGTCAGGCCGTGGAGTTGCTGTCTGAGACGATTGCCTCATCGAAATGGCGAGGTAAACATATGGGTGGTTACGGGGGGCACTTTACTTAAGGTTTCACAGGGCTTGTTTAGGACACTTTAGGGCTGTCTGTCTTTCAAGAATAGAATTTTTTGGGGATGTTCTAGTATAGTTAAATCGGGAGTACCAGGGGGTATGAAAATTATATTACTAGACCTACCCTCCTTTTCGTGGCGTTTGGGATTTAGGGGTTTAGAGGGTATCTTGGGCTTGATTCTAGGACATTTTCAGGTGGGTAGTTACCGTTAGAGGCGCCTTATGGAAGGTCTATATACCTTATGGAAGCCTTATAGAAGCCCTGTATACCCTAAACTCCCCACCTGTAGTTTCCTTTAATTGATCGTTTCAGAGCTCAGGGAGCGTTCGTTGTTGATGGTTTCTTGCCATGTGGGTAGTTTTCGAAATGAGGGTCCCTTTTAGGGTCCTTTTTATAAGGGTGGCGTAGGAAGTGGTGTGTTTTTTTGTTTGTTGCTGTGGCCCCGCCGGGTCTTTTTAGACCCAATGTAGTACACCAGACATTTTTTGTTATTGGCTCGCCGGCTTCGGCGG